GCATCTTTTTTGGATACTTGCTGCAGGTGGGAAACTGAAGGTCATGTGTCCTTTGTACTTAATCTGTTGTGACTCCTGGCAAATTAATACTTGAAGGAGAGCCCTATTTTAGCTGACTGATTCTTCCTTTTCTAGTGTTATCATTCTGTGTCTTTGAGACTTCTTTTCCTGCTTGGGTAGGAAACCCTCACTTTGATGTTAGTCAAAAATTGTCTATTTACTGGGTGGTGCTTACATGCAGTATAGACCAGGATGTATTATAAAGATAAAACAGGAAAACTTTGGAACAGCCTTAAGAGAACTTGAAATCATCTTACATTTTGAATCAGGAGGCCTGTTAGCTGCCTAATGTGAGAACATTTTAGCAGATCTGAATATCTGCAGTGGCTATATTAAACATAGTTCTGAAATGACAGACACCTGATTTGCATATATTATGAAGATGTCTCTGACTAGTTCATGGTAAAAACTAATTTAGTTTTTCCAAGGCTTCAAATTTTTGGCTATTTCATGAAGGAGTCCAGGTTAAAACAATCCAACTTAATGAAGTGGAAACTGAAGAGTCATATGTGGCAAATGTTTTGGAAATTTTCATTTTGCTGAGTTGATATGTGAAAAGGAGGTTAGAGTTATCAGATAGAAACTCCAGGCAGTACAGAGACTATTTTTCAGAAAAAACCCTGAAATTTATGACAGGACTTTGTACCAAAATTACTCAGAGATTTATAAATTATAGGATCACTTTTCCACTATTATATAGACTAAAAAAATAAGTGAAACAGCCTTATATTAAAGGAATAAATATTTCTGAATTTAATTATTCATATTAAAATGAAAAAGAAGTATACAATTATTTTTGAGTGCATTCTATAGATGCTAGTGTGCCATTATTTTAAAAGGATTATTGCATATCTTGTCTGTAGTGCTCATTTCTCTGATGGAACTGTATCTGATTACTAGAATGCTAAATTTATTGTCATTAAGGAAAAATAATTTTCAAAGAAAGTATAATTTTCTTCTGTAGGAAGTATGAAAAATTATAGCTGTGTTACCGTAGCATAATTTTATGAACTTATTCGTCTGGAACTAATAAATAGGTTTTTCATTTAATGTGCATCCCTACAGAAAAAATGGAATACCAAGGAAAATTTTAACAGTTAAAAAATTAGCATTAGAATAAACTGATCTGTAATTATACTATCCTCATATTTTTAAAAGAAACCTTTTCTTATTTAATATTATTTTCAAAATTACCTTTTTTTTTAAATAACCTTTTAAAAAAAAAATATTGCAATTTGGGCTAAGAAACAGAGCTAAAATGTTCACATTTGAATGGCTAGCAACCATATTCTCTGCTGATACATAAATACCTATCTTTTTATCTCTAAAATGAAATTTGAGCATAAAAATACATGATGAAATGAGTGGTTGCAAATATTCAAGCTTATAGTACTTGTTCACGAGGCAAGTATAAGGGTTGTTTATTGGAATCTTCTGCCAATAACAGACTTATATATCTCATATCATGCTATATGGTTTAGTTGTATTACTTTTTTATGATTGGTCACTTTTCACTATGGACATTGCTAAAATTGCAGCTCCAAGTTATTCTGGTAGGTTGATGGTCCCTCCTGTCTGCCTTGAATATCAGAGGTGATAACATTTTGCTGTTTGACATCTGCATCTATCAGGGCTGCACAGAGCACGGCTGTTGCATGCTGGCATGCCAACAGAAGGAACACTGGTAAATAGTGCCTTTACACTGTTGTTTGCAGTGCTGTAAAGCTTTCAGTGAGCTGTTTTAAGTCAGTGCAAAAGGCAGCTACTGAAATTCGTAAGGGACATCATCTTGCCTGAGCATTGTACATCTTTTGTTCCTCCTCCAATCTATTTAAATACAGCAGGAATTTTAGCTTGTAGCTATGGGTTCTCAGCTGGCTCCTCTTGGAGCAGGTATTTCCCTGATGTACTTATTGGCTTCCTTTCTACTTTTTGTATGTGTAGCCATATACACATAAAGATTGCACATAAATGTTTGCAGGGTTCTGCTGGGGTTTCCTGGTCCTGTTTCAGGCTTTCAAATCCTTTGCAATAGTGATATCCTGAAGGGTGGCAGCATAATAATCATGTAGATATGTGAGGCAGACTCCCTTTCTGAAAAGATGGGTTATGACAATTACTGTAGGAAGGGTGGTTGCCAGAGAAGCCTTGCTGATAAGATTAGTGGTAGTGCTGATACTGGCTATGTTAGCATGACACACCTTCACAAGCTCTGTTATAGTAAAACTGCAATTCACTTTTACACAGAAAAGCATGAAAAGAAATAAAACCAGCTGATCAGTATATATTTATATATTTGGTCTCTTATATTTAATGGTAAGAATATCAAAAAACATAAGAAAATGCTTTATCTAGGAAGCAGTTGATACATATATGTCAAGTCCTCACAACCAAATTACAAACCAAAGGATCCTTTTAGTTTCTATACAACACACAAACTACAGATTTCAAAGCTTACCACAGCTGCAAGGCTGTGAAAGAGGCAAGTTTGTACTGAGAGTAAAATATATCGTGTAGAGGTGGTGGCCATGTCAGGTTTTGATCTCTTTGTATGCCAAGAGCTTTCTCAGTCTCAGACACTTAGACATCTATTTACCTCTAACTCCAAGTGGTATTCAGGGCCAATTAGGAGCCCTGACCAAGGTGTGTACAGAGCATGCTGAAACCATGGCAATGAGGTTCACACAGAACATGATGTGATGTCTGCTTTTTAGTGTCAGATATCCTTTTCTAAGCTTTAACTTAGAAATCAAAATTCCCTAGATGCTCACTGATCTGGATATTGAAATGGATATTGAGTCCTTTAGCCTGCATACTCAAAGTGGCCAGATGTGGTACGAGCTGTGTTATTCTTGCAGTTCCAAAAATTAAAGGAAATTATATCTTGCAGATGCATACCTGAGGAGTCCCTTTCTCAGTGAAGCCTTTATCTTGTCCTAAACATCCAGCAAAATAATCTATGAGCTTCACACAAATTAACTTATTGTGTTGTCAAATTCATAATTTTTGAAGAAAGCTTACTGTCTCAGTTTCCAGCCCTCTTCAGTAGAAGTGACTTTGCATAAATAAGATTAAAACAGAAACAGACTTGCATTGTCCTAGTAGAACAGCCTGAAAAATCCCAAAATTCTGGCTAAACATTTTTGTCAAAAGACTAGCAGTAGCATTGGTATTGATGTTATGAAAATTCCACTACTTATCACTTTAGTTTATACTACCAACTGCACATGAAACAATTGGATTTGATGAGCAGCCATTATTATTGGAAATTGTCCTAACAGTTGACTTAAGATGAATGAAAAACAAGCCAGAGCTGTCTTACCAGACTCAGTAAGCCTGATGCACAAAATTAATCTGTTTTGCACATAATAACTTTGAGAAAAAATGAGAGTTCCACAGGTCAAGACAGAGCTAAACATGAGGTAAAACTGACTGGCAAAATAGGCTAATTTTTAATCTACAGGATTTTGGCATAATAATTAGCTAAAGAATTCAGTTTTAACCCCAATTCTTTCTGCTCAGGCTTGTAAGATTAAGTACAGGCAAACTAACATTACTGGACTCTTCATATCTTATAAGTAATAAAATATCACAAACACAGCATTCTGGGAGGAAAGACCACATTTTGCATGGAGCTTTTCTTTGTGTTGTCCTGATTCACATTTACTGTTTACTGTAACTTAATTTTAGGAAACTTCAGTCCGAAAAAACCCATTAATTTTGGAATCCTTTGTGTCTATAGACATGTTAACTGGTAGTACAGATGCTAGGTTTTTGAGTTTTTTCTTTTCTTTGATAGAGTAGTGCTGAAATTGTCTTCCTTTCTGGAATGAAAGTTAATCTTTTGTGTGAAATAACAATAGCAAATAGAAAGACAGGTAATTATCTCCAAAAACATGAACTGATTTGTTTGAAACTGAACATCTACGGACTGCTATATCAAATTTAGACAGTGCTTCTGAAAATTGTGAATGTATAGTAAATGACTATCCTGAGGGCATGCAAAGCCTGAAAGAGCAAAAGCAACGTCCCATTTTACCTGTAACAATCTGCTATAAATGATTTTGTAAGTTGCAGCAGTATTTTGGATTGTAGGAAGAATAAGTAGTGCTTGGCATACTTTATGTGCAGTGCAGAATTCTTTATCAGTTGCTTTAATAGGAAAGAAGGTAATCCTTTGTGAAAAGACTCTCATTTGTGAAAGTGAAATGGTTAAAATGTTACAAAGTGGATGAGTATTCTTAATTTTAGAATTACTGTAATATGGCAGCTCTGCTATCAAGCAAATCCATATGCAAAAGACAACTGACCAGAATATTAAATATAACCTCTAACTAGATAAGAGAAACCCTCAGCTCCATAGGTGTTTTTTTTACAACTAATAGAGCTAAAATAGATCTCAATTAGTGAACAAAAAGCTTTCTCAGGCTTTTTGAGAGAATTGTAATAGAATGTGAATTCAGTAAGGATTAAGTCCAAATTCTGAAAATGGTTTTAGGAGTAAGAACATATCCTGAAATCTCACCTTCTCCTAGATTTAGCTGTCTGTGTGAAGTTAGAATTCACAGCTTTAAATTGGACATAGGCACATTATCTTCTGGGTGCCAAGAAACTCTTGGCATTTTTCCTCTAATGGTGAAAGCAGCAGGCTGGGGTCTGTGCTATGAGCAGAGCAGCTGGCGAGGGCAGAGGGCACGAGTGGTGTGCACCCAGAAGCTCCGCACGTGGAGGAGCCCGTACTCTGTCTGCTGTCTCCTCGCAAAGGGCTGAGCTCGCAGGCATAAAGCTATGGTGATATCAGGTGGGGGACAGACTCTCCACCTTGGAGTGGTTTTGGGCATTAGTCACTAGGCACAGCAGGGAGATAGGATCTGATGCAAAATTTGGACTGCAGTTCTCTTGTATTCCGGTCTGAAGGTTTTCTTCTCTGTTATTTGCAGAAATCCTGAATCCTCTTCTGCATCACATCACAGCTTTTGCACAAGGGCTGCAAAAGACATCTGCTGACTGAAGCCATCAGTCTGGTGGGCTGAAACACTTTTGGTTGCAAAGAAGAGATTAAACTTGGACTCCATTAAGTGACTGTAGTTGGAAGGTATGACTTTGGGCTGAATGGCTTTAAGTAGTTTACAGGACACCTTGCCGTAGTGATAAAATTGATGTAGTCATTTTTATTCTAAGCTTTAAAACTGGAGGCATGTTAAACAGATATTATATCAAGAAGAAAGAAAATTAATCTGTAGCTATTGATTAAAGTTTCTGCAGATATGAAAAGAGCTATAAAAGTAAATAAATGTTTTTTGTTAAACCTTTGTCCTGATAAATGACAGGAATCTACATTCAACTAGCACAGTATGATTTACTCTTATGGTAACAAGAAAACTTGAGGCAGAAACTAATTTTCCGCATCCACTGAACTTGCATTCATGTGAAAAAATCTAATGATTGTAATAGAACTACCTGTGGGAGTAAAATTCACTGCAGAGTATGAAATGTCCAAGAAGGTTTAACATATGCAATGTAATATTATTCAGGTGTTATGGAATACCAGCTCAACCTATGAGGTGTTGTCTGCTTTCTCAGTAGTTCCACTGAAGCTTGCAAAGGATGAAAGTTTTTGTGGAGTTTTCAACCTCTGTGTGCTCAGTTCAGAAAAGAACTAAAGGCTACAATTTTATTCTTCTGTAGTCGTTAAAGTAGTATTCTGTACATTCAGATATGCATTAAGGAAATTTGAAAGCAGTTTTAAATATATTTGCTTTACTATTTAGTTAAAAAGAAGTGAGCTTGAATTCCTTTCCACCCCTCTCTTCCCCCCTCCCCCCGGATTCTACCTCTCGCTATGTAGAGATATCTGTTATACTGTGCATGAAGCTGCTTAGTGCTTAAATGATCACTTCCTATAGTTCTGCTGTGATGGCAGTGATCTTCAGTATGGAGGAGGTCTTTATTGCTGTTTTCCGTGCATTTACATCTTAAAGTAGTAGGTTTTTTTTATTTCATCAGACTTGAATATTAATGCTCAGTGTAAGTCAAATCCTGCCTGTCTGACATGCATACTGTTCTGGAGAACTTTATGGAAGTAACAGGATTTGGCCCTTTCTAGTTTTAAAACCTTTGAGCTTTTCAATGTTGTACATCTATTTATTTATCTTTGTTGTATTTCAGATATGCATGATATTGATTTAGTTGACTATACCAGCTACAGGGTCATTTTTGTACAAGTTATAACTCAAAGTGTAGACTTCTCCCTTGAAAGCCTTGGTTTTATATGCATTTCCTATATGGTACATTGAAAGCATAACATAATAGAATATGTACTTGGTGTAATATTTAACAATTATTTGCATAACAATATATATATGCATCTTTTATACTTATTTTCATATTATTTATAAGAGGAGTTTGTATTCAGAAAGCATTTTTGCTAACCAAATTCTCTTTCCACCTGCTGAAGCCAGGTATTAGCGCTGAATCTCCTGGCCTTTTAGAGGTGAACATGCATTCCTTGTGGGCACACAAATTCACAAATCATGTTTTTTATATTTAGGCATTTCCAGCTACACAAATCAAAATGAACAGAAACATTCAGCATTGAAAAAATCCTAACACGTGTGACCTCATCCTCTTACCCACCATGCCTGATAAGGATGAAGGTGCATTAATGGGAATAAATATACATATGCAAGGTAGGTCCCTCCAACAGTAAGACTCAGACATATGCAACAGCCTCCCCTGGATCCCAGGCTTTCTAGTTTCTGGCACCTGGACACACAACTTCCAAGGCTGGTACAGGTCCCCAGGTCCTCCCTCTGCATACACAGATGCAGAGACACACAGACACCTGCACTGTGGATTCCTTCAGTAGCCAGTCTTAGACACAGTCTCCCTGGTGACTGGCTTGTACAGCTGGTCTCAGATTCTTACACACACACCCATACTCAAGTTTTCTCTCTCTCTCTCTCTCTCTCTCTCTCTCTCTCTTTCTCTCAGTTGGTCTCTGAACTCCATGGTCTCTGGCAATCAGCCGTGACCTCTGGGTCCCTCCAGTAGCTGCGTCCCTCACAGAACTGCAAACTCAGATGCCCCCCAAACTAAGTCTACGTCCACACCCAGCTGCTAAGCTGTGTATCCTGTTCCCTGACTTGCTCAGTCTGATATTTGCTGAGAATTGCATGGTGACAATCGCTCACAGTGTGCTCACAGTGTGGTGTCTACAATTACTGGCACCACAGATACACAGTCCCTTTGACCCATGGTCTGACTCTAGCTGCTGACACTCAGATCCTTCCCACCCCAAGCACATCCAGGTCCCTCACTAATGTAAAGAAGTAGAAATGGGATTAAATAAGAAGACAGGACAGACTGTGGTGATGGTTACAGGGCATGGCCAAGCAGGCAAACAGAGAAGCTGGAATATGGATATATAAATATGAGTGTTTAAGTATGATCATCCTCTTTTATCACTTTCATCTATTTTCTCATGCTTATTCCATCAAACACTTTGATTCTTCTCTTTCCCCTCCTTTGGCTCCTCCCCTATATTTTTCATGATAAGTCTTATGCAATGTCAAGAAATTCCTCTCTTCATCCCATCACAAATCCTGCACTTCCCTCAGCTTGAGGGGTATCGTCCCCTACTTCACTGGGCTGATGCTCCCCTGGAACTCTCCAGCTTGAGGCAGGGAGCAGGTGTAGGTGATGAGGTTACTGAGTTTCCCCTGCCTGACCCTGTGCCTCACACGTCTGTGTGTGGGGAGAGAAACCTTTTTTCCACATAATCTAACAGCTATGTACAAGTGAACTTGCATCCTTATCACATTGCCTTTGAATGTAACAGCTTATTTCAAACAGCAGAACAGGAAAGAGATGAATAAAAACACCAGAGGAGACTGTATACAGAAATTTCCAGCAACAATACATGTCAGTGGTTGATCTGCAACACCCCCGCTTCCCTAAACCTCTTAGCAACAACAGCTCTCTTGGCACAGCTGACAGACCTGTGACCACAGCAGTGCTAATGGATACCACTATAATTCACAGGTAGTGTTCATGGGATATAATCTGCTCTGACACTATACTGTGTAGTGCATATTCCCTGTTCAGGAAAATGCCAGTTGCATTCCCTTCTATATAAAAATTTCAGCATCTCTATTTCTCCATGTAGGAAGCTGAAAGTTTGAAGCTCAAAGCTAGGAATGCATTACTTAAAATTACAGATCTCTCTAGTCGTGGTCCTTGCTTAAAATCATCTGTGGTGAAACAGAATGAGCTATTTGAGAAAAAGTAAAGGTTTTATGCTGTGTATCTGCTCAGCTTTGCACACAGAACCCCTTGGTGCCTACAAATAGATAAACTAGGAATATTGTTATATACATAATTTTAAAAAATCAAGATTATAAAATTATCAGCTAAGAGAATAAAAATATTGTATAGGTTGCATATTTTATGCAGTCCCTATGGAAAAGTTTTCAAATTGCTTTTGATAAAAATCTGGCTAGAGGATTTATGGGAAAGAACAAACAGGAATGAATACTGTTTAGACTTTTAAACTTGGGGATATTTTTCTGAAGAGTGGCAATAAAAGCATGATGACATAGCATAAAAGGAATAAAAGAAAGCAGAAATTCCCAGTGTTTTTAAACCTATGTCTTTTGGCTCCAAAGGACTCTTTTGTATGAGACAAAGACAACAGTGATTCACAAGAACTGACTATAGATTACTTGAGGTGAATTTTGGATCTTCCAGTGAGCATGACCACAGTCTTCTAACTTAATTTTAAGGCCACTTTATGTTTTTAAATAGTAGTATACTTTTAATTATGATACTTTTATATTGCTGTTGCAAATATAACTAAACAAAACGGCAATGATTTAAACACTCTCAAATCATCTCTTTTAAGGCCTGTCATGGGGTATCCAGGCCTGTCATGATATGCTGTATCCAGGGATCACTAGAATATTTAGGTATTTTGTTGAGTATAGAATACAGTTGACAACTGGTTTGATCAAGCGGTCTGATACTAGAACATCTCATATATAAGTTTAAGGGACCAATCTAAATCTGAATTTCAGATCTGGTACCTTAAATGACAACTGCTGAACCCAGGCTGAGAAATTCATATATATATATATATATCTTTCCAGATTCTTCCTGGTCTTCTGTGGTCTGTCAGTGCCTGAGCAGACAGTTTTAGAGGCTAGAATAAGCATCACATTTTCAACTAGATCTTTTTCTATATATAAACGGGACACATGGAGTTGTGTCCTATTTCAGTGAGTGGGATAATAAAGTTGGGAGTAGTTTCCTCTTTGTCACTGCTCCTCTAAGTCACTTACTCCTCTGTTTCAGAGGTACTTAGTCCTTGACCAGTTATCTAAACAGGTGTTATTCCAGGGATGTACCCCAACATTTTGCATGAAGCAGTAGCCCAGTTCTGAGGTTAATCTTGCAATCAATTGCAGTTGTTACACATTGTTTTGGTTCTAAAGGAAGTTTTGTTACACACAAACCAGATGTCCAACAGAGGATATCTAACTGGGAGCTCTAGTTGCGCACTTTGTAACATATATTTTATGAGTTAATACTAATGTTTGATGCTTCATAATGTAGGTGTGGTGATGGTGTTTCATCCAGGGACCAGGTTAAAGCTAGTCTGAATTGGTGCTGGGTCACTTGGTTTTGATTTACTGATCTTACTCTGTTTTCAGTATTTAAAACAATATTTGTTTTAAAATATTATTTTTAACTGTTATTTTTCTTCATAAAAACTGTGCAAAACGCTGTTTTTCTCCAAGCTTATGAACACAGAGTTGGAGATTCTGAAAGCAAAGCTCTGTGTCTTTGATCCCTCCTGACCTAATCTGTAGCTGCTTTGACAGTTATGGAGATAACGGACAATCTTTGATGAATTTGTTCCTGTCTCACTGAGATAGAAAGTCAATCCAATTCTCCATTTCTCAACTCTGTGTGATAACAATTAGTGCCAATGTCTTGTCAACTGTGTGCTCATGCAGGCCTTTCATATGGCAGTCAGTATATATTGAAGAAAACTAGACCACAAGAAGGTAGATAAAACTGGGTCAATATTTTAGG